GAAAAAAAAGATTAAAGTATTCCGTAGTGGAAACCCACGCGGCGGGGTACGAATACACCCATGACGCCAAAAGATATATAAAATGGCATGATCCTTCCTATCCTTTTCCTAGGCCCAATCCAAGGGATTGGGGGTTCTTTGCTGCTTCGCAGTTCCTCACATCCCACACGCCATCTGAATTTTCAACAGCCACGTATCCCGGTCCTCAGGGGAGCTGGCCATGGCGATAATTTTCTGCCCATTGGTGAACCAAATCACGAGCTGATTGGGGTGCGAGCGGCAGTAGGCCTCGGGGACGGGAAAGGCATCGCTAATCGCCTCCAGCCCGGTCGATTTCGGCGGGACGGAGTCGTTCTCGGGCTTGTCCGTGATGGAGATCTGCAGCATATTCTTCTTGATCGAAAAGTAGCGCCGCTTCCACTTAAAGTCGGAGCTGTACTTAAAGAGGTAGCCCTCGTGGTCGACGTCGAAGATGCCGATGCCGATGCGAGGGGGCTGGTGGATGGCGATTTTACTACTGCTAGCGGCGAGTTGGCGGATGATCTCCTTGCGGTCCGAGGGCTTAATCGCGTCGGAGTTGCTGACGATCTCCTCGAAGAGGTTCGCCACGTATTTCATGAAATCCGTCTGCAAGAGCTGCTGGGTGGTGGGGCGATCGGCCGGGTTTTTGGACAGCAGCGTCTCCAACAACTCCTTCATGCTGTTCGAGACCGGGCAGGGGAAGTGGTCGTAGCGGTCGTACAACACCTGCTGCATGATCTCCCGCTGCGAGGGCCCTTTAAAGGGCCGATGAAGGGTCAACAACTCGTACAAAATCACCCCCAGGGACCACATGTCCGCCTTTTTGCTGTACCGCTTGCGCTCCCAGAGCTCCGGGGCGAGGTAATACGGGGTCCCGCAGAAGGACGACCCCACGTCCAGCGAGACGGAGTCGTTGTACTGCTTGGAGAAGCCGAAATCGCCGAGTTTGATGATGCCCGTTGGCATCAGGAAGATGTTCGCGCTCTTGAGGTCGCGATGCATCATGCGCCGGCTGTGGACCTCATCCAAGGCGAGGACGATTTGGTAGAACAACAGCCCCACCTCGTGCTCCTTAAAGGGAAGCCGCTCGCGGAGGCGCTGTTTGATTTGTTTGTTCAAATCCCCCCCGCTGCCGTACTCCATAATCAGCAGCACCTTGTCCTCGGACTTGAAGTCGCCGTAGTGTTTGACGATGCCGAAATGGCTGCAGGCCGCGAGGCAGTGGAGCTCGCTCCGGGCGTAGGAGGTTTGCTTTTCATCGCTCAACATCACGAACTTCGCGACGACTTTTTCCGTCAAGTTCGACCCGCGAACGGCGACGAAGGCGGCGGTGGTCGGGTTCCGCCCGACGAGATTGCGCAAAATGTACATGTGCTCCCGCGGGTCAGAAGACTCGGGCGGGTCCTCGCCGTCCTCGGCCGGGTTTAACACCGTCTTGGGGTCTAAGGTGCTGATAAAGGTCTCCATCTC